AAGTTTTCCAGAAACCTGCCAACACGTTAAGACAGTCTGAGGGCTGGGTTGAGAATGGGGAAGTCAGAACCCAGCTATGAAACTGCTTCTCCTGCTTCCTCCATTTGTTCCAATCATTCAAAGGAACTAACCAAATCCACATATTTTAAACACACTATTACTATGACATCAATGTTAATGTTTTCAAAATACATGACCCTTTACCTCTAACTGTTATTAAAGACTAAACCAAACACAGGAAGACCAAAGACTCTTTCCTTAAAAGCAAAACACTTGTGGTGATACGTGATCCTCAATTTTTTGTATTTTTTAATATTTTATAAAAATTTTATATTTAACATTCTCTTCAAGGCATCTAATATCCTGTTTAACATCCTCCACTTATAAAGAATCACCAGCACTGAGTACCCCTCCCTTTCAAAAGTGACAATTCAACCAGAGGGACATAAGCACTATTTAGATGACTACAAAAAATCAAACTCTTTGCATGTCAATCCCTCCAGTTTTTTCTGCTTGAGGAGAATGGAGTAAGAACCAGGTTTAACAACTTGATGAACCTTCCCCTTCCAGAGAATCAGGACCCCCATCTATAGGGCAAACCTGTGTGCTTCTGGGACAAGCACAACAAAGTGTTTTTTTTTTTTTTTTTTTTTCTCTAAACTAGGGCATAGAAATGGCTCTTTCCATGCTCAGGAAGAAACACATCAGTTTGTTGAGGAGAAAAGAAAACCTCCATCTTTTGATTCATTAGTATTTTACTAAGAACATATGTACTAAACTATATTGACTAAAATTACAAGGATTAGTATTCCTGACAGTACTTTTTTACAAGCAAAAATTATGTATTACTAGTAAAAGAATGATTTCATGCTATCATTTGCTTAATTATCCGAATTGTGCACTTCTTCCCTTGAAACTCAAGATAACCAAAGTAAAATCGAACTGTCATTTGAAAAAAGCAAAATGGTTTTAAGGCTGACAAGGTTTTGCCAATGTAGCTATCACACCTATGTCATCATTCGGTGTCATTAGCCTAGAGAGGACACAGGCTTTCCTGAAGTCGATTCAATACCATGAGAAAGACCCCCAAAACAGTTTGAAACTAGGGTTAAGTTTTAAAGACTTTTTACATATAATATTTAGCAAAATAGTTGCTGAATAAATACCATGAAAGAATCCCAGTCAGGACAATTATAAAAACAACTGTCAGAGAGGCACTAGCAAATGTCACAAGAGTCATCACCAGATGAAACACACAGTAGCTAGAGCACTCCATCACACCTTGGGAGTTACATGAGACTACAAACTGAGATATACCCGAGGTTTGCAAAATAAAGGGTTTGTATATAAGCTACAGAGTTTGTTATAACGACCTTCCTCTGTGTCTTTCCTTGTATGCTTGCTTCATTTACTGTCAATATCAGAAGCAAATAAAACTACAAAATATACTTAAATGCTAAGTGATGCTGTTCTAAAGGGAGGTGGTGCTTCAGGTTAATTTTTATATTACATGCTATATGTCAAGATCTATCAATAATGCAAATGCCAAGATATATAAACTCAGTATGTCAGCAAGGAGAAACCTGCATGATTAAGAGCTACAGAAATAAGTGGACACTGCAGAGGGAGATTTGTTCTGAGCTTAGTGTTAGCCCATTGAGTAAAAAGTAAATATTACCGGTCACGGCCCAAGACAAGAGAACAAGTATGAATTTATCAGCCCTTTCCGTTCTGGGGTAACGTGAGGCTCTGGCTAAGTCAGGTGGAAAACATAAGTGCATCTGCAACTGACAAGCATAGGGAACCATATGACCCACACAGACAGACTGGCAGGCAGGCAGGCAAGCCTAGAGAGAAGGCAGCCTCAGGATTTATTAAAAATGCAGCTGAAGAACAGTGAGCTGTCTGGACTTCTTGTAAAAAGCTGGTTAATTGTCTAACAAACATACTAAAGGAAAGATTAGGTCACAGAAAAATATGGCCTCTATCTCATAGTGTGCAAGCAAAACTAAGAAATAACTACCACATCTTTAATCCCAGCACTTGGGAGGCAAAAGCAAGTGGATCTAATCTCTGAGTTCAAGGCCAGCCTGGTCTACAAAGTGAGTTCCAGGACAGCCAGGACTACACAGAGAAACCCTGTCTTGAAAAAGCAAAACAAACAAACAAAAAGAAATAACTACCTCTGCTAAGAGTGGTGGTACCCACCTTAATCCTAGTGCACTAGAGACAGAGGCAGGCAGATCTCTATGAGTTCAAGGCTTGCCTGTTCTACATAGTAGTTCCTGGCTGGTAAGGGTTAAATAGTGAGGCCCAGACTTCGGCTAAGGTTGGCTCTCAATCTGACTGTATTTAGAATTAAACTAAAACCCAAGCATCTGGGCACACTTGAGGGATTTTCCTTGATTGGATTATTTGAGCTAGGAAGACCCAACCAAATCTGGAGATCTGGGCCACACCTTCTGATGGCAGCCAATATAAAACACCACAGGAGAAGGAAGCTTTTGCTTTTGCTTGCTTGTTCTCATCTCACTGAGACATTCCTTCTCTGGTGTGAGAACATATTTCTTTGGGATTTCAATGTACAGTGAAAACTGGAAGCCATCTAGGACTTCCTGGGACTCCAGCTCCAAGTTGGGATAAAGAAAGAAAGACTCAAAAAGCATTATCTGCTTGATATATATATATCAGGCAGACTTAAAATTCATACATTAGAATCATTATGCTATACTTTAAAAGTTCAATTAAGATTTATAAAGTCCCCAAACCAGGAATTACAGTGTCTTAGGGTATCTTTAAGGAGAAAGAAAATTGATGACATTAAAGCAGGAAGGCACAACCTGAGAGCCCGCCTACAAGGGGCCCGATAACACACTCAGGCATAAATGACAGCCGTTTCACAATCCTATACCACCAGCCTCTCCAGGCCAGCAGTTACAGAATCTCCTAAGTCACACTACACAAATGCACGAATCAAGTCTGTAACGGAATACCAAGTGTTCCCTGAAGCCATAATTACCTTAATTATGTACAACTTACAAAGCAGCAATATAAACAAAAACATATTTGTAACTCCATATAGAGATTGTTTATGCATGTGAAGCCCTGCAGAAGAAAATAGTGCATTACAGTTCACTTAAATAAAGCCAGTTTCTACCCTAACAGATTGGATGGCTTAGGCACAGCAGCCTTATGCAATCCATACGAATACAGACTTGCCGTAAAACCTGGAAGCTCTGTTCTCTTAAAACCAAACAAAAGTAAAGAAGATCACAGAAATGTGACTGAATTGAAGTACGAGTCTATCAGCCTCCGTGGGTTTCAAAACAAAACAGCAACAAAAACAGAAAGAAAATGCCACGGCAGGCATTTCTTTTTTTAATAGCCCCATAAAAAGAACTGGATGGGGTGAAATTCTCTCTGAACTACTGAAATAACCCGAAATTCTCTCTCAAAGTAGGCAAGGTAATCATTAGTGGGTAATAAGTTATATACCATATGCCTCTCTATCTACATGATAAAGATGTATAGATACAAGCATTTTGAAAAATCCCCAATTGTGTCATAGAATTAGCTGAGTATAACCAGCCACTTGGACACATATGAGAAGTGTATGTTACTGATGATCAAGCTTGAAAACAACTATGAAGAAAGCAATGCACACTGTTCATCTGGCCATGCAGAAAGCTGGTATCTGTTCATGGTACATTCTCCAACCTGCTTCACAGCAGCCAATGACATACCTACAAAATCAGCTCCAAAACCAAAAGTGTGGGATCCACTGGACACACCCTCCTCCTGTGACTCAACTTTAATTCCAAATTCTTGGCCAATGCTGCGTCTGTAACAGGTGTACGTCATCCACATTCCACACACTCACCGCACTGTAACTGCTTCTAAAAGCTTCTAACACAAACATGGATCCCACTGCCTTTCTCATTCCTTCAAAACAACAGGAACTAAACAACACATGGTCCCAAGCAGATTAGCAACGAGAGACTTTTCTGTAAGGCTCACATCCTCACCTCACAGAAACAACACCTATGCAAAGCAGGGTTTTGTAGCCATGTACAGCAGACTCAAAAAGCAGTGTGTGTTCTCTAGCCATTCCATGCCTTCTTCAAGGGTACACAGCCAACTTAAGTGGGCATGGCATGTACACAGCCGGTCATGGTCTACATCCATTACCAATGTTCCTTCTCCAATATTTATAAAGAACATAATGAATTTTATTTATGTGTAAACAAGGTTACAGTTCAAGTTAAAATCATGACTCACCCGAACTCAGGTTTTAAACAAACTGTAAGAGAAATTTAACAGCAACAATAATGCTTAAGGTCAAAATATGCTAACAGGAAAATAAATATAAAGCGTGTTTTACAGGTTTATTCTTTTATTTAATATAGAAATCCTCATTCAACTGGGTTCTCTATTCAAGGGTAAATTGAGTCCAGATGAACTGTTTACAGGCGTCACCATGACGCACTCCTGCTGCTGTACAGCCCATCACCACATGAGCTGCTGGTGCAAACACCACACAAGCTGATTTGCCAAATTTCAACTAAAGTATTTTCTTTGGGGAAAACGACTCTATATGAAGTCCAGGAATAATTCAAATTACTGACGTCACTGCATCTTTCGCAAAGCAGGAATGTCCTTACATTTCAACTCTCCCACTGACACTTTTGCTCTGCATCATTACCAAAATTCAAGAAAACTAAAAGAAGCTCAGTAATGCAACAGAAATTCCTTTGTGCTCACAAGGCGAGCCAGTCAGGTGAGACCTTCCAACAGTAGGCGTCTGATCTGCCCAAGAGGCTGCAAACAAAACAGACTTAACCAGAACCACGAGGCTCTCTCAAGAAAGGAGCCTAAAGTTAATAATTCTCAAATAAATCTAGAACCTAGAAGCTTCTCCCCTGTAATATAAAATAGAGCAGACAAAACAATCCTTGTTTTCAAACTCATTACGTTTTCCAATCAGCACAGTAATGTCTTACTGGTAAACTCGAAGGTCGTTCCTGTTGGATTAAATTCAAGTCTTCGTGGTTGGATTTTCCGGGGGCCAGAGGAGGCTGAGATCTAGTTCCATAGCCTTCCTGAGACATGTCCTAAACAAAGAAAAACACACGGCCCTTCATCAGTTTCTCTGAGTGTGAAGCTTCATATAGTAAACAAAAAGGAAACAAAAGTGAGTTGTGATTACATATTAAATGATATTACATTTTGGCCAACATTTAAACGCGTCACAGCAGTCATTCAATACTTTATCAAAAGCAAACCCAGCAATGACTCAATGACAGGAATGAATATAACTATCAGGCACATAGTAGGAGAGCTTTACTCCTACTAGGATAGGTGAGCTGTGCAAATAACCAATACTTAGTCCTAAAACAGGCTCTATTGTTTAATTATTCCTAGGGTAGTAGGGTATGGGGAGTAGCTCACTCCTAGCCAGGCTAGCCTTGAATTTGTAATGATCTTCCCACCTCAGCCTCACAAGTGCTGGAATTACAGGGATAAGCCGCCACACTTGTATAGATGAACTATGATTTTGGTCAAATACTATTTCAATTTTAAAAAATAATTAATGAAAATATTATTAACAACTGAATCTTAAAATGTCCTAAATACCCACAGAATGGTATGAGTTTCTAGAAAACCAATAAACACCCAAGTACAGACACCCATAAGCCCATGTGACAAAGTTTTAGAAAATCACACTAAAACAAAAAACAACAACAACAAAAAAACAGCGGGGAACCAAACATACCCCAAAACACCTGCCAAGAGCTGAGAAACTAAGCATTTCCCTGGTCTTTTCCAGAAAGCAGGTTCGGCGTTCTGCTGAAATAACACGCAATCCAAACGCTGCCTCAGCTTACAGGCCCCGCATAGCAGGCATTGGCTATTTGATACATGGCTTAGCTTTTCAACACTGCTACCACAGCACACTTGAGCCTGAGTGGCCAGAGGCTAAGGGCCTATTACATGGCTTCTCACTGAGCTCTGAAAGTTGAAGAACCAGTTTCTAATAGGAGTGGGAAAAGGAAAAGATTGGAAAATACTACTTTGAAATAAAATTTGACAGTTCAAACAGGCATTAAAGAACCATACACAAATTCTATTTTATTAGATAATACATGGAAAAATAATGTTCACTATGAAAATTCTCTAAAACTTGCCTGCTGCCCCACCCAATGCTCACACAGAATACACTGTAAATTCCTTGGCTTTCTAAGCCAAGAAAGAGTTGGGTACTGGAGAGTCCATGCGCCACACAAACTGGATTTCACCAGTCAGCACCAGCCAAGGGTCAGCGTACACTGCCTTTAAACTGGCTCTAAAGTAAACGCACAGGCCTGAGAACAGCATTCCACAGTCTCTCTTATAGAAATCTCCAACAAAAATAATAAGCCGCACCAAAGCAGGCCCTGAGTCTCTAAGGATGATGTAAATGCCCACCCTCGGGGGCTGATTTGGGAGATACATCAGGATGAGGTATGCAACCATGGAAGCCACAGCTCTGCAGCCTGGATGCCTGCAGAGGATGGCACTTGTAGGGGTTGAGCAAGAGTTGGAGGATTACCACCCTATCTCCCACCCCCAAAACCAAGATTCCCACAGAGGGAGGTTTCTAGTTGTCACAGGGATGCCCTGCTGGGCACCCTGCAGTGCTCTGAGATTAACAGCCAGGATTTCAAATCAAGTAGGGCACAAGGCCTCATTCAGGGGCCTTCACCCTGCTACAGAGACAGCAGGGAGGTATAGGCCTGCTTCTCCACAGCACACAAGCAGGGTATCTGGGAACCCAACCTTCTTCAAGCAGCTTTGATGCTGGTAGCCTCTCTTCACAACAAAAACAAACTGTTCATCTTAGAGGGCTTCTTAGAGGGAAGAGAACCTCAGTGAGCAACACTGAAGCTCAGACAGAGCCCCCAAAACAACCATCAAGAAGAAAGCCACAGCTGAACACAGTCAGAAAACACTATGGCCTCGCAATTCACTCTTGAGACTGCAAATGTTCAAAATCATTAGATTCCACCAAAATTTTAAATACTATTCCTAACCATAGAAACTTTCAATTATTAAATACAGTTGGATATAAAACCAAAATCTAATTTCATGAAAATGGCTGGAGAGAGCTTGTTCTGCCTTGGGTGGGATTTGAGGCAATCAGGAGTGGGAGGAGTGCCAGCCTGTACCAGCCATCCCCTAAAGATCATGTGCAGAGGGACCTTACGGTTTATGATAAAGAGAGGAGCTGAGTGTGGAACCCTAGAATTCTGGAAGCTGAGGCAGGAGGACTGGGGACTCAAAATCAGACAGGGCTACCCAGCAAGGCACGATATATCCATAACTCACCTGACCTTCAAAACTGTTATTGTTCTCTAACATTCACTTGTTTTAACTTCAAGTAACTAAACATACTTTAATAAGCAACAAAAAGACAATGTCAGTATTAGAGAAACACATTTAGCATAATATTTCATATATTTTTAAGGCACAGTTTATATTTGAAAACATCATTGCTATCTTTGGTTATTTATAAATTTAAACCAGCATATGCATATGAACACTCATTAAATTTATCTGTCAATCACATAAAGTCAGCTCTTCACAACAACACTGTATCATGAAAATTCCCCAGTGCACAAGAACCAAGTGCTGGAACGTGATTCTCCATCTCTGAACACACCCACACCTCATCTCCAGACTCAACAATGATGGGCACTGGTCTGAACCATCTACATATTATGACTTAAAAGTAATGGGAAAAGTGGCACATGGTGTGAAAAGAACATGTGCAGGGCCATGTGCACATGCTCAGAAACTTTCTCTGGGGTGTCTGGTAAACGGAGACTCGCTGACTGAATGCCTGTGGTGGGCCACTCCCTTTGTTGGGTACACTGCCACACTACAGCAAGGTCAGCTGGAATATAGCTGGCTCCACTTACCTAAAGTGTCAATGACAAGCTACACACAGGATCTAGTGCAAAGGCCAAGAACACAGGCACTTGTCCTTTAGTGCTGAGGGAGGAAAAGAGAGGGCAGAGAGCAGGAGTGACTTCCAAGATGGGAGCACCAACTTCTTCAATGATAGACAGAGATGACTAGTGAAGAGCGGGATGGCTCCTCCCTGGACCTCCTCCACAACGGCACTTCCCTCAGGGCTCCACGGAGTCTAAATCATGGGCGAGCCCTTACGTCAGTCTTCCTTTACACAGCTGGAACAGGCTTTCTATAGCTGAGCTGGTTTTCAGTCCCTTCACAGTAGACCCTCACGCCTCACTGCACAGGTGTGACTACACCGCACAGCATTAATTGTAGACACTCTCACTTAGCCCTCCCCTACTCATGTACACTCACATTGTTTCCACTCCTTCTTTCCTTCATACAGCAACTTCAAGCATGCATGTTTCATGTGAAACATCCCGATATCACTCTTCTCTACCTGCGGCATTCTGTCTCAAGGCTGATATGATGAACACTGACAGACACTGGCAAAGTGCTGTGCACAAAGGAAGAGCCAATTCACACCCCAGTCCATCACTATGGAACAACACAAACAAGGTGTCTATGCTACCATCACAGTATCTGACTCAATATAAAAAGTAGCCAAGTTGGAGGGGTGGGTATACCCCACCACCCAACAACGCCTGAAGAATAAAAAACACAGATCATACACCAAAGGGAATGAGGTGAGTGAGGTGGAGTGAAACTCAGTTGTGGCAAACCAGCGGCAGTAGAGCTCACCAGGAGATGGGAACACACTCAAAGGGCAGCCAGCCTCACGGTCCAATAGAGAGCCAGGCATAAAAACAGAGCAACCAGGGCAGTTGGGGATGTAACACAGTGGTACAATGCTTGCCTAGAATGCACAGGTTTGTGGGTTCACACACACACACACACACACTGGGGTAAGGGCTACCCTTGCTTTTTTTTTTTTTTTTTTTAATAAACATTCTGGGTACAGGAAGAATGTGTCTGAGAGGCTTCATAAAGGCCAGTGTCACCCTGGTCAAAATCTCTTGCTGCCTGTGTCTCCCCACTTTGGAAACTCTTTTTTTTTTTTTTTTTGGTTTTTCGAGACAGTTTCTTTGTGGCTTTGGAGACTGTCCTGCAGCTAGCTCTTGTAGAACAGGGTGGTCTCGAACTCACAGAGATCTGCCTGCCTCCCCCCCCCACCCCACTGAGTGCTGGAATTAAAGACCTGCACCACCACTGCCTGCCTGGAAACTCTTATCTTCAGTTAAACCAATCTCCTTGCCACATGGCATTTCATTGGTGCAGGGAAGACACTCCACAGAACACTACAGACTGCAGGTCCTGGGAGATGAGCCCTGTGGAGAAGAAACTTAATGTGTCTCTAGATAAAGAAATCGAAGGAACCTTTCCCAAAAGGTACACAAGCTAGCACAGTTACCCCCTGTCACCTCAGGGAAACCTTACAGGAAATACCAGCAATGCAAGCTGACAATCCCAGAAGTTGCTTTACAACAGTCTCCATCCACAGGGATGTCTCCTACCGACCATGCAGCAAAACTCGCATGATTTGCTTATTCGTGTGCAGTCCTATGTTGTGGTCTTGAGAGATGGACACTTAATTTCTATAGCTGTTTACAGACAACAGGAAGCCTCGAGAACTATTGCACAGTGAATGATTTAATAAAATTTTTACTTTTTAAGTTATAGGCTCCTAAATTTGTTTCTCTATAAGCTTCAAGACTATATACTTATTCCAGTATCATGAATAAAAAATTCAAATACAAATTGCTCTTCATAGATTTCAATGCAATACTGTTCTCTCTCTGCCTTGCATTGTCATTACATAGTTAAGGGCCGAGAGAAGCCAGACATAGAGGCCCAAGTTGGTGCCCAAGTTGTTTTCCCTACATCTTTCATCCAAAGTCCCCACAATGACCCCACATTGACTATTCCCCTTTTCTCCATTAATATTGAAACATGTAAGGAAAGTTCATCTTCGTGTCCATATATGACTCCTAACACTCAACTGGTTTTTTTTTTTTTTTTTTTGGTTTTTCGAGACAGGGCTTTTCTGTGTAGCTTTGGAGCCTATCCTGGCACTCGCTCTGGAGACCAGGCTGGC